AGGGAAGCACGTCAGGGAGAGAGCTGCGAAAGGCACATTAGGCGGCAACATCTGCAACGCGTTCTCGATTGGCAGCGGACAACCGGTGAGTAATGGGACGGCGAAATAAGAACATGGCCAATAAGAACACGTGCTCGGGTTGGAGCAGCCAAAAAGAACTGAGCCTCGCTCAAAATAGAAGGTTCTTAAGTGCGGGCCTCAACTGTAATCGCCTCCGCTACACCCTCTTTTCCCTCTACACGCAACCATGTCTGCACGGCTTCCAGGGAAGCCCGGGTTGGCGTTGCGCCAGGTGCCAACCCCAGAGCCTTAAGCGCCTCGCCAAGGTCTTCATCGACAATTGTCTTCTTCGCCTCAAGAGAAAGACGCTGCACCAAGTCCGTCAACTCTTCGAGACTCTCCTTCTTGTTGCGGATATTCTTTCCCACGTCCTGGTCGCTAGATACCTCGCTAGCTATGATGGCCTACTGCTGTACAGCTGCTTGAGCTGCTGCAGCGGGGGGGCAGCTGGTGGGCTATAGGGGGTGGGGGGTGGGGGGGAAGGTTCGGTTTAGGAGAGGTTTAGGAGAGGTTTTNCAACTCTTCGAGACTCTCCTTCTTGTTGCGGATATTCTTTCCCACGTCCTGGTCGCTAGATACCTCGCTAGCTATGATGGCCTACTGCTGTACAGCTGCTTGAGCTGCTGCAGCGGGGGGGCAGCTGGTGGGCTATAGGGGGTGGGGGGTGGGGGGGAAGGTTCGGTTTAGGAGAGGTTTAGGAGAGGTTTTAGAGATTCGGGGTTCGGTTTAAGAGAGGGGTGTGTCTAGCAATTTTGACCTCTCTTAAATAGGCAATTCTCATAAACTGAGCTCTCTTAAACCGTAGCCCCCACTGTAGATGGAAAAACTTGGAGCCCCAGTCCGAATTTGTGTAATTAAGGAAAGATATTTTGAGGATCGCTCCTGACAGTCACGCCAGAACCCACAACAAGGAAAATGTTCACAGATGTAAGACCCGAGGGAGGCTTGGTTTGTAGAAAAAATTTCACGATTTTTCGATTCAGCAGCTTTCTTCGAAGTAACACATCACACGCACCACCGCACGCACACACAGCAGTCTGCTGAGAACATGTCAGCGCGGCCAAGAGAAGGCCAACGGACAGTGAAAGGCCTTGGCGTTGGCGCGCCACCAACACAAAAACAGGGTTTATTCAAGGCTGACTTGAGGTCAGCAACACGCCGGTCAGGTTGAGGCAAGGGGGAGGAGGAGCGCACGAACGTAGAGGTGGTGACAACACCGCCAGCAAAGAGAAAGAGCAGGGAGGAGGAAGAGCACGTAGTGGCCTCCTGGTGAAGGCGGGCGCGTCCTTCCGTGCGCAAGAGTAATTTCTCTGGTGTCTACTAGAAAGAGCGTTCGACTCGGATGTGCCTCCCGGTCCCATCCCCCTCTCTTCCGAACGCTTGAAGCGCGACATAGCACTTCGTTCAGAGGCTGTTTGCCAGTGAACATTATAAAAGTCTAATCACTTCCTGTCTCCGCACTAGTGTGGTGCGATTTTCGTGTGCTGAGATTGAGGGAGCGACGCAGACACGGACACGTGCACGCATGCACGCACATTCAATAGCAGCAGCAGTGAGAGCCCTTTGCCATCAAGGTGCAGAGCTGCCACGCAGCGCACCACGAAAAAACAACAGCACCTGCGGACAGGGGAAGTTCGTGGGAGGACTGTTGACCCATGGCCAATCACATGAAGCCGCTAAAATCTGAAGAATTTCACCTGCACGAAGTTTCCAGGAAGCTTTCTTATCTCCAAGTCTGCTTCCTTTCAACCGGAAAATTTGGAGCCCCAGTCCGAAACTAACTGTGTAATACAGTAGGGGCTACGGTTTAAGAGAGCTCAGTTTAAGATAATTGCCGAATTAACAGAGGTCAAAATTGCTAGACATACCACTCTCTTCAACCGAACCCCGAATCTCTTAAACCGCTCCTAAACCTCTGTTATACCCAACCTGCCCCCCCACCCCCCACGCCCTATAGCCCACCAGCTGCCCCCCACTGCAGCAGCTCAATCAAGCAGCTGTACAGCAGTAGGCCATCATAGCTAGCGAGACACACAGCTCCCACGGATGCCTTGCGCCGCGGGTTCCCGCTGCCTGGCAACGCCGGACCACGCACCCGCCCCTCCACTGTTTACGAACCACCCATGCCGTGTCTGCGGAGGCCACCTTCATGGACTGTGCGGTGTGCATGACCTGCTTGGCGACGACGAGATGCACCGTGTTTGCCACGGATGTGTCAACTCGAGCAACCGCAAGGAATCAAGCACAGACTCGACTGCTGGGGCTGCATCTTCGAAGCACCCCTGCCCGGACGGGCGGGCAACGGGGAAGGAGAAGCGAGCGAGTGCACTGGGCAGCTTGAAACCCGTTGGCAACACCGCACGTAGGAAAGTTCGTGGCGCCGAAAACCACAAACGACCGAAGCTCGAAGACAAGGTTCGGGCGCTCGACCTTTTGAAGAGCATGAGCAGCGTAGCAATCGCGAAGGATAACGGGGATCGGGGTGAGCACCTTGTACGGGTGGAGAGCTAAGGAAGCAGACATCAGACAACAGGCAGCAGTCTCCATGCCCGGCGCCAAGTCTACGAAGGGGGCTGAGTTTGCGAAGGTGGGTGATCANGAAACCCGTTGGCAACACCGCACGTAGGAAAGTTCGTGGCGCCGAAAACCACAAACGACCGAAGCTCGAAGACAAGGTTCGGGCGCTCGACCTTTTGAAGAGCATGAGCAGCGTAGCAATCGCGAAGGATAACGGGGATCGGGGTGAGCACCTTGTACGGGTGGAGAGCTAAGGAAGCAGACATCAGACAACAGGCAGCAGTCTCCATGCCCGGCGCCAAGTCTACGAAGGGGGCTGAGTTTGCGAAGGTGGGTGATCAGCTATGTTTGCTGTACAGCAGTACACAGCAGAGTACAGCAGTAATTCCGAGTGTATTTTGATTTTGTTGTTGAATTTTGAATTTTTGTTGTACAAGCAGGGGTCGTGTACAGCAGTTTATTAACAGCTCTTGTGTACATTACAGCAGTAGTTCAATTCCGAGTATGTTTGTGGCCGTTTTTGTTCAGCAACCGGCTAGTGTGGCGTAGGTACGCTGTATCATCATGCCGTGCAGTATTTGCTGTAGGATGAAATGATGTACAGCAGAGCAGTAACAGCAGTGCACGCACTACAGCTGCTAAATCCGTGTCCTCTTTTCTTCTCCAGGTGGAGCAAGTAGTCATGGAAATGTTGGTGCAGGCGAGGGCACTGAGAATGCTTGTCAAACGGGACGCGATCCAGGCCTTCGGGCGCAAAGCTCGTCGTGCTCTTGAGAACGCAGCACCTACGGACACCGAGCGTGTGCAGTACAGCGGCTTCAACGCGTCCGAGGGGTGGGTAAAGAAGTTCGTCAAGCGCAACAACCTGCACTCCCGTACACTTCACGGCGAAGCAGGCAGCGTCGACGACGAAGCCATCGCCGATCGCCTCAGAGTAATCCGCGAGACGTGCGCTCAGTATACCCCAGAATGCGTCTACAACGCCGACGAAACCGGGCTGTGCTACAGGATCATGCCCAAGGCTACATACCTCGCGCCATCAGAGCTCAGAAAGACCGTGCGAGGTGTGAAAGGTATGAGAGCGAAGGATCGAGTCACCGCCTACATGGCTACGAGCGCCAGCGGGCGTAAGGTGCCGCTGTCTTTTATCGGCACAGCCAAGGAGCCCCGGTGCTTCAAGATCCGGGGCTCACCCATCAAGTACTTCAGCCAGAAGAACGCGTGGTCGGACGCGCGAGTGTTCAAGCTGTGGTGGTCGCAAGTGTTCCTGCCACACGTGCGCTCCGTCACTAGCGAGAAGGTTCTTCTCATCATGGACAACCACAGCAGCCACGCCGACCTCGTAGACCCCAAGGAGCAGGTGAAGATTCTGAGCTGCCACCCCACTGCACGAGCAAGCACCAGCCCATGGATGCCGGGATCCTCGCAGCCTGGAGAGTGCGGTACAGGACGAAGCTGCTGGGGATTCGCGTCGACACGATGACGTCGGCGGCGCAGCTACGGGAGCAGGCGAAGGAAGGCAAGGTGATTCGGGGCTGCATGGGGTTCGCGGAAGGAGCACAGCCTCACATCCTGGATGCAGCTGAGCTAGGCCTCGAGGCGTTGAAGGAAGTTTTGCCGGACACAATCAAGAGGTAACAGGGTTTTCGCCTGATTGAGAGCGGAGTATACGATTGAGAGCGGGAGCCAAAAAAATTGAAATTTCGGGTCCAGACGCCTCTTGCCATTTCTTGGGAAGTAGGGGGCGGGCTCTTCCAAGAAGCGGCGCAAATTGAAGGTCTCATCAGCAGCGTCACGAGCATATGCGTGTCATCGCGATCGGATGCTGCAGCTAGGAGCTAGACAAGTTGCTAGATTTCCCCAGATTGGCTATTCCTGCCGCAAACTGTTTCAGGGCGATTTGATCGCGGGCGGTGAGCTCTGCTGTAGATTCTGCTCCCCGCTGTAGCTCCACAACGAGAGACGCCCACAGGATGACCAGGGTATCGGCTTGTAGCTACGAGCTAGGCCTTCAATTCAAGTCACGCAGCAAGCGCCACCTCTCAGCGGTAGTCCAGCTACAGCGCATCGTGCAATCTCGCTCTCAATCACACGAAAACCTTTTTAGGTGTGTCCGTGTGGTGGTGTTCACGACATTATTCAATATCTGCTTTTATATTTCCCCCCTCTACACACATAGTCTACCGTTACCACGTATATTGCACGTTGACGAAAGTGTTAACGGACGCCATCATCTTGCAAGTTTTGTTTGAATTGAAAAAATGATCAAATGCTTTAATTCGTTCGGTTCGTTCTGTTTTTTTCTTTTGTCGCCGTGCACGTTTCTCTCTCCTTCCCGCGTACTTTGACATTTCATCGTTTCCAAGGTGCTGGAGGAAATGTGACATCCTTCCTCCTGCGGTGCACGCGGACCTCGACCAGGACGTGGGAAAGAATATCCGCAACAAGAAGGAGAGTCTCGAAGAGTTGACGGATTTGGTGCAGCGTCTTTCTCTTGAGGCGAAGAAGACAACTGTCGATGAAGACCTTGGCGAGGCGCTTAAGCTCTGGGGTTGGCACCTGGCGCAACGCCAACCCGGGCTTCCCTGGAAGCCGTGCAGACATGGTTGCGTGTAGAGGGAAAAGAGGATGTAGCGGAGGCGATTATTGCAGATCTGAAGGATTTGTGAGGAGTCGCTTGCCCACCTGAACATGGACCAACTGAAGATAGATTCGGACGACGACGAGGCCGACTCTTCGGCGGGAGACGAGGGACAGTGTACGCAGCCCCTGATCTCTCCTCGTGCGCCACCGTACGCTGACGTATCTAGGCAGTTCGGAGACCTCGAAGAAATAGCAGAGAGGTGCAGCATGGCCGGGGTAGCTTACCATCTTCGCAAGGCGAAGTTAGCCTGGATGAGCGAGACTGGGTCAAAGAAAACGAAGCAAATAGACTATGCATGGCAGGCTTCATCTAAAGTTGCAGAAGCTGCCCACAGGCGATGTTCATGGACGTCTGTTTTTTTTTTTTTAAGGGTAGGGCGTACTACTTGTACTGCTGTAGGTGCTTGAGTCACTGGTCTTGAGTGTTTTGTGTGTGTGATGCTCAGGTCTCTGTGTTCTGTTGGCAGCTATCCTATGATATGCACTGCTGTTTGTCGAGATGAGGTCGGAGTATACCTTGGAGACCACGTGATAGTTACATCGGTTGTGCTTTGCACACAACAAGAAGGAGGGATCACGCTTGGTGAGGGCCCTATAACGCATGAAAATATTGTGGAAAACAAAAAAATATACTTTCCATCACTTTCATCATGTTAGACCCTGTTAAAAGACATATAATAGGTTTAAGAGCGGTTTTTCTTAAACCGAAAGTACGGTTTAAGAGAAAAACTCTTTTAAACCGTATTAAGAGAAGGTCGTGTTTAAGAGAGGTCTTCTGGGTGATGCACACACCTGTCTTAAACCGTAGCCCCCACTGGGTAATGCCTTTTAGAGGACGGGGGCAAAACGGGCTCAAATTAAGTCCGTCTGTCTGTCTGTTGTCTGTCTGTCTGTGACCAGCCTCGATATATTACCCAGCAGATTCCAGCCCATTTCACCATCTCGGCACCAAATTGCAATCGAAGACGTGTTCACAACAAGTTTTATTTTGCCCGAGCTGCCCCAACTGCTACCTTTTCAATCCGTGCTCGGTATGTCGAGATAGTGCAGCGTCGGTACCCAACTTGTCGCAGGGAGTTTCTGGCCCCTTGCAACACCGAGAGGAGGCGTCGTTTGATATCGAACCAAGACAGATAGTCTGGCCTCGCACACCACCACACACCACGCACACACACAGCCAGACATGGACAAACAGGGAGAGGGAGACACAGACCACAGCGAGGGCGAGACGGCGGGAGAAGGGTGCGCCATACACTGCTGTTTCTGCTTGCTATCGATCGGCGGAGGAAGCGAGAGGAGAGATCAGCATTTGGTTGCAGCAGCAGCAGCAGCAGCAGCAGCTCAGCAGCAGCGGCCTCTCGCTCTTTCTGCGGAGAGGGGCACATGACATCAACAAGACAAAGACGCTGCTACGCACCAACATTGGTGCGACATGTACTGCTGTAGTCTACGCCTCTCGNCTAGCCCTGCTCGCCAGAAAGACCCCCCCCTTCACTACAACCCATGTCTAAGCAAAAGCTTGTCGAGGAGCGAGGGGAAGAAGGGAGCACGTANGACAAAGACGCTGCTACGCACCAACATTGGTGCGACATGTACTGCTGTAGTCTACGCCTCTCGACACTTTTGTGCGCGAAGGCCTAGTGTGCGACCAGTGCCTCCCGTGCTAGTCTGGCTACCCATCACACGCTTGATTGAACGCTTTCGAGATTTCTCGGTCAAAGCTCGAACCAACGAGCGAAGCACAACAACAGCAGAGACATTTTTCTTTGTTTCAGCNTGGTAGCAACGCACGAGCCTACTGCAGGTACGTTTTTCAACAAACAACTACTCCACCTCCCGATCTCGTAATATACCACACCCCTCTCTCCCCCCAGAGGTATGTTGATTGGCGCTCCCCACACCTCAATCAGTATATTTTCCCCTATGCTCCACTTCTAGCTAGACGACCCAACCGGGGTCACATAGGAGGANCGTTTGCCATCGGGATTGGGTTTTCGTCGCTGGGCAACGACGTTGTAAAAATGCCAATTCACTTCGTGAACTAGGTGAAGGCCACCCTGACTCTCGAAATCATGGCTTCGAGTCCGTGTGGAGATGTCTTTTTTTCCAAGACATTTTTTTTTTTCGGAGTCCATCACATTGATTGTTGTTGTTGTTGTTGACTTCACATTAAACCGTATGCCAGTTGCTAAATGCCAAAATCTAGCAAAGACTCTCGGCCCGTGGTCACGAAAACGCTGGAGNTATTTTTATCGCGAGAAGGGTACAGCAATCCCTTCCCTCGCGACTTACGAAGTCGATTATGGTGCTGTGTAGTAGACGGGCCAATGGTAGCAACGCACGAGCCTAGTTGTTGTTGTTGTTGTTGACTTCGCATTAAACCGTATGCCAGTTGCTAAATGCCAAAATCTAGCAAAGACTNTGTTGTTGTTGTTGTTGACTTCACATTAAACCGTATGCCAGTTGCTAAATGCCAAAATCTAGCAAAGACTCTCAGCCCGTGGTCACGAAAGTGCTAGAGCCATCTGAGGATCTAAAGAACACGCACACGTAGCAAGAAAAAGGTATCCAAGAGCCCGAAGAGGTACTACTACACCTATATATAATCCCTGCAGCACCTAGTGCAGGTGCGTTTTTCAACAAAAAACTATTCCACCTCCCGATCTAGTAGTGTGCCTGTTCTTTTGATCTTCTGATGGCTCTAGCATTTTTTTGACCACGGACCGAGTCTTTGCTAGATTTTGGGATCAGCAACTGACACAAGTGCAATGTGAACAAAACAACAACAACAACAACCCTCATGTAGTTCTGGGGGGCGATCCGCGTTTATGCGTGCAAAAATGGCATATGTGTGCTCACCTACCCGTGGTCTGCGCTCTCTGACTGGAGACTAAAAATCAATCCGTTGTGTGTCTGTAGAGCTTGCTTTCACTGATTCTCAGGATGCTGCTGTAGTGGGTGTAGACGCTCCCATGCTTTTTTTTTTGGCTTGAGAAGAGGCTGTCCACCATCTGTTCCTGTCCATCGCTGTCCTTTCAACTCGCGTACTGTCAATCGGTCCTCTTTCAATGAGGTTGCTGCCCATCTATCCTCGTTCCTCATGGTGACGGCAACTTACATTGCGTTGTGAAGTTGATGATCGGCGGGGGTACAAAACAAGTGACGCCTGCTTTGGATGTTGGTGCTGTGTGAACGAAAACGACTTTAGCATGCATGTCGTACCACCCACCAAGTGCCCCAGCCCCACGACCCCTGAGAAGATGAATTGCCGGCCCTTGCTTGTCCCACTGATTCTCGGCAGCTGTTGTAGTCTATGGTGTCCGCGTGGCTTCATGCACGGAAAAACTGTCGGGTTTTGGGAACGACTGCAGCTATGTTTAGACTAGATCGCTTGTTATGAGTAGTTTGCAAGTTGACCCGTGGGGGTATTTTGTTTTTTTTGTCTTTTTTACTTCAAATCAGCGCTCACAGCACTGGGGGTATCAACTGCTACTCTGCTGCATTGGGTACCTTGATCTCGCTTTTGCTGTTGCCTTTGTTTTTGTACGTCTGGCTGTCTGCCCATCTGCCGCCTCTTTGTCCTGTTTGCTCCGTTACTCCCATGCCCTGGTGCGTAGTGCCTAGTGCTGGTACGTTACCGTTTGATTTTTACTTTGGGCGGGTATGGGAAGCGTCCTCCTTTATTTTTGTTTTTGTTCTATTTTGATCGGTTTCCGAGGGCTCTTTTCTCGAACGGTCGGTGCGATACCTGTTGTTTTCTTTCTATTATTTTGTTTTCTTTTTTCCGAGTGGTTTGTAACCTATTTTGTTTTGTTTCCCCGCGGCGTCGTATGTGCCTGGTTTTAAGACCACGGGCTCCCCATTTTTGTGGACTATAGAGCTAATGTGAGAAACAACAACACCAACAGCAACTGTCCGGTGAAGTCCCGACAAAAAAATAGAAATTGTACGTATGCATAGTCTACATATATTGTCGATGGGTTGGTTTAGGCCATGTGGCACCAAGGATATCTACGAAAAACTTACAGAAGATAATATGCATGCCGTATGTATATAACACAAGATAACATACCCCCTGGGCCGATTTTCAAAGCTCGATTACACCACGACGAAGATGATGCATAAACGAAAAGATACATTTTCGAAAAGCTCTCGATGAGACGGTTTCAATGCCGCCGTTTTCGGCGTGCGACTGTTCCTGTGGTTGCGAAATCGAGCTTCAATATTGGTCGAGGGGGTGTGTTATCTTGTGTCATATGCGGTAATCATACGCGATTCTCAAAACCGTCAGAGGTCTTTGTGTAATAAGTACAAACTTCCAGGAAGGGCGGACGGTGGCCAGTGTAATGTACTGTAGACTGTGTGGAAGTAGTAAAACGGATGGAGAGGCTAGGGATAGGGGCTGGCCCGATGTCTATGTGGGTCTGTGTGATCTCTAATCATTCAAGTGACAGGACCCTGGGTGTCAAGAGGAATTGTCCACAGAGGGTTGTACATGGGACCCCAGCCTACAAGCACTGCTACCGACCTGATGGTAGCTGCCTCTCGATCGGTACCGAGTTCGGTGGATGAGCCGGAACAGCGGTAGAATTGAGCCTCGAAGGTGGCTTGTGACAAGGAGTGGAAGGTCTCCGGTCGTGGATACGGTATTCGCTTGATTATTGCTAACTCAGGGCAAGCAAGGAGAAGTAGTATGGATAAGTCAAGTCAAGGCAAGGGGACCGAGCAACCTAGCCTCTACACGGGGCCCGGCAAACCGAACCTTACTGCTAGTACCTGTTGGGAATAACGCATCCTTCCACAGGTGCAACTCCTATCAACCGTTACAGTGTAACCGTAACATCCCCCCACTAGCATGAACAGCTATTTGTCAGCTGTCACATGCTAATAAACGGTAGCAGGAAATGTGTAAACCGCAAAGTGACACGATTTTGGAATACTACCATGCAATGTCTTTGATTGGGCTGAACGTCCAACCGAAAATTACAAGAGGTGAATAGTGGCAAAACCCAAATAATATCCACTCCTCTTCATAATTCTCACTGTGCGTTGAACCACGGCCCGAAATCGACTTGCGCGAAGGGAAACCCGGCCTGCGGGACAAACCCTTCGCTCCCCATCCCGAGAGCCCTAGAATTTAGGCTGAACAACTGAAAGCACCAAGTGACACTCGGATGTAAAATGCTCTAACAAGGAACCGTCCCTCGCTTGGTGAATTCACTGTATTTGCAGTCCGGCTCTCAACACCTACAGCGCGGGAAAAACCTGGCCACCCAGGAAAAAGCCCATTGCGCAAAGCACCTACAACACCAAACCCAATCAAATTCAAATGCCACGGCACAACAGCACAAACCCTCTTGGGCGCTACCGGGCACAGGACCACCCTTCGACTGCAAACCAGACTAGCACACAAAACAAACCCTCGTGGGTGCTACCGGACACAGGACCCACCCTTCGACTGCAAATCAGATCAGGACATCTGGCTAGTACGGTCTCCGAGCAGTTATTAAGCTTTACCGAACCTCAACTGGGTGGCGCACTCAAACATCAAATTGACATGCATAAAAACCGGAACAAAAGAGACTCTTATCAACAATACTCAAAAATCAAGTGGACATGCAGAGTCTAAAAACCGGAACAAAAGAGACCCTTATCAACAATAGTCAAAACCTATCCATGGTACATACATACGACCGAATCTTGTACGGACATCCATGATCACCCGCAGACGGTCTCACTAACCCCACGCATCCCATCGTCCAGCAATCACACTAGCTCGAAATCCCTCCCCCGAAGGCTATCTCGAAAGTTATTCCAGTTCGCGTCTGGACAGCTCCTCCCAGTTCCCGTCAGTGTAGCGCACGCGCCAGTAGGGGGAAAGGTAGTCATACACCTGACCCTTAAGTAGGATTTCTCCGGCTAACTCCTTCTGGAAAGGTCAAACCTATCGGGAAAACGTGCAAGGCTTTGGCGCGGAACAACGGGGTACGGAGCTTGATTGAGTCGGGTGCAAAAGCGTTTGCCAGCTGGGGAAAATACAAATACCAGAGCGCAACGAAGCAATCCAACTAAGGGGTGTGAAACTGCGTCGCATAGCCTCTTCCGACAGCCAGTCCGACACTACACCGTTCCCTGACTTCCTCTTGTACTCCCAAACAGTTCGCATGCCAGAAGCTGGTTGAACTGTGCGACAGTCGGCGAAAGTGACTAGACCCAAACTCTCATTAGCTCCTGGAGGCAATTTGAAATCGGGTCCCCACGCATACTGGGCGAACTCTTCGGCTAACGAGTGTTGGAAAGGAAGTTCTCGGAGGTGGAAAGGTTTCACGTCGGCCGCAGCTACCCTTCGGCTACGCTTCTTTCTACCATGCATCATGACATATGCACTGAGACCGGGCTGGATCACCCCCGTCACTTTCCACGGTCCTGTGTAGAGATTGTGTTGCAGCTTTCTTCCCCTGTGGTCACGATATCGACTACTCTCGGACTCGCGCACGAGCACCAGGCTGTCCTTCACGACCCCCACTCCAGCTGACGACCTCTCGATGGAGACGTTGGCTTTCGCGCGTGCAGCAACTCGAAGCTCCTGCCGTTTCTCGAGGGCGAGTCGTATTTCACCGAGATTTTGCTTGCGCCCCTCTACGAAGTTGTGGAGTTCTCGTTCCTGATCCGTCTCGTCCGTAAGAGGAACTTAGCGAATCCAGCGACGTGCGAGGCTTGCGGCCGAACAGGAGCTCGAAGGGGGTCATATTAGATGGGAGCGGTGTCTGGCATGGTGCGTTTGATCCACATCGCATGCGAAACATACTCATCCCATCGGTCAGGCCAGGACTTACACAGCTCAGCCAACAACTCCTGTAGCCATCCCTCCAGTCTCTCCAGCCTCGAGGGCGATCAGCAGCACCAAACACGATGTTTGCCCGCAACCATCTGCACAAGTGCTTCACCACATCTGCAACAAACTCTGGGCCTCCGTCGCAGCACACCGTCTTTGGAACCCCGTAAGTTAGACACAACTCTACCATCACTCGGGCTACGCCTACAGCTTGTTTGGCTTCGAGCGGGAACCCGAAGAGAAACTTTGAGGCGCGGTCTACCACGGGCAAAGATGTAGTTGTTGCCAGTTTACGATGGTGTGTCTATCTTGAGGATGTCAATTTGGAACTCGTCCCACGGCTCAAGCGGTCTACCTGGCATCATGGCTACTCGTCTGCTGGGCGGTCTCTTGCGTCTACCACAGGCGCATGACAACACATAGTGTCGAGTGTCGTTCGTCATCGTGGGCCAGTGGAAATGATCGCGCAGAAGGGACAGCGTTGCTCCTATTCCTGCATGATTATGTAGCGTGTGATCCAACGCAATGATGTCAGCTACCATGGCGACTGGAATAGCAGGCAATTTTCTTCCCTTCCCATCGTTGTACCGAATCACATCATCCGCGCTTAGGCTATACCGGTCACGCTCACTTCCCCCCTGGCTAGAGTCAACTACATTGCTCAGGACTATGCGAACCTGACTCAGATGAGTATCGTCTCGTTGCCGATGCGCTAGCTCGGACGGCCTTGTGAGTACTCGTGCTGTCAGATCGATGGCTGATGCTCCATCCGACGCGTGGGTCGACGACGACGTCGGAACCTCCCCCCGTGCAGCCAGCACCTCACCGATGTCGTCGTGGCCAGGTCGAACGGGAGACGGCGGTAGTGTCGATGGCGACGGCGCCGGAGTGGAGGAATCTACCGCGGAGGGGCCGATGACCTCTCTGTCCGGGAGGGCCTCCAGTTCACTTGTCGGGGGCAGCTGCGCGTCGCCGATCGGTCATAATCATACCGAAGGGGTACGGGTCCGGCCGCTGCGGCGGGGGGCACCAGACTCAAGGTCAACAGCAGCACACGCAGCGAAAGGCAACGCTCGAAGGGCGGACAGGTGGAAGTCGGCCACCTCCGGGGTGTGGTGAGAGGTGTGGGGGTCAGCATTGCCTACTTGGTCTACCTGCACAGGGTCCAACTCAGCTAGCCTTACCCTTCAACTCCGGTCCTAAGATCTCTACCGCAGCGCCTGCAGTAAACGACAGATCATCCGGAAACGAATCGTCGACGTCGCCCTCTCTCTACCGGGTTCGCCACGGGCAACCGGGACAAAGCATCGGGCACTACGTGCTCTACCCCCGCCTTCCATTCCAGCTCCAGGTCGTACTCCATCAGCCGCAGCGCCCACCTGTGCAGCTTGGGGCAGAGTTCACGGCTTCGGAACAACTATGTGAGGGCAGAACAGTCTGTCACCAGTTTGAACCGTCTACCAGCTAGGTACGGCCGGAAGTGGTCTACCGCCCAGAGGACCGCCATGCATTCTCGTTCCGTGGGCCCGCGTCTAGCATCGGTTTGTGAAAACCGGTGGCTCGCGAACGCGACCGCTCTGGTGACACCATCGACTGTCTGCATGAGCGAAGCTCCTACACCCAGCGTGCTAGCATCCGTGTGCAGTTCGAACGGACGCTCAAGGTAAGGGAAAGCGAGGACCTTCGGGGAAGCCAACGTTTCTCGTAAAGACTGGAAGGCGCCTTCCTCAGCTGCGGACCACGGGATAGGAAGCTTGCGTGCACGTTTCGAAGCGAAGGCTTTGTTGCGCAGGATAATGTTGGTGAGCGAAGCGGCAGTCAAACCGTAGTTGGGTACAAACTGACACAAGTAGCCGGTGAGACCCAAAAACGTGCGCAGCTCTTCTACGGTGTGTGGGCGAGGCATGCGTGCGATTGCATCTAGCCTAGACGGAGCAGTGTACAGGCCCGTGCTGTCGATAATCATGCCGAGGAACTCCTGCGATGCTGCGCCGAAAATGCACTTCGCGAAGGTTACGGACAGCCCCGCAGCCAGAAGGCGGTTCAGAACGAGCGTCAGAGTGGCGAGATGTTCTTTCCACGTGCCGCTAGCGATGAGAATGTCGTCAAGCCAGCTAAACACGCCCAATAGATGCCCCAAAGCCGACTTATTCTACGAGTGATGGTCGCCGGAAGCACGGTCAGGCCGAACCCCGCGCGAGTCGAATATCAAAGCATACCATCCGCATCTCGAAAGGCCGTCTTATAACGGTCTTTCTCGGCGATTTCCATCGTTGATGCAAGCCGGCACTCGCTTTTTGGTCGATCGGAAACAGGCCGTTTTCGATGAACGCTGCGAGGACGTTGACGAGTTGCTGCTTCTTGAGCGTCCCCAGCGCCCCCAGGTTGGCGTCCTCTACGCGAACACGCGGAATGGATTCCCCATCAGGTGGGGACGGGCTCGGGGCGCGCGGTTCACGGGGAGCCAGGGGTGGGTCGGCAGCAGAGGGGGCAGTGTCAAACAGCGAATCGAAAGCCGGCTTGTCGCGAACACTGAGTGCTACCATGCGAGCTATCACCCGGCTACCCTCGACTGCCACCTTCTCCTTACCACGGTTGACCAACTTGCACGAAACAGGCGACCCCGGAACCCACCACATCAACGCGCGAGCTACTTCCACTACAGCTCCCTGCTCTGAATCGAACCGTTTGGTCGGCAAGACCATCACTAGCTGCCTGTCCTGCGGTTGTGGTCCCACAGCCGCAACTTCCCCCGCGCGAGTGGTGAAACCCTCGACGCCGGTGGTCTCCGGAACTTGTCGCACGTCCCACTCGAAGGAGGTGTCGTCCTCCCACACCACGTCCTCGTAGCTGGGCACACCTGTGGGAACGGCGGGCACTGCGGGGGCGTTGTCGGGGGTAGCCGTCAGTAGACTGAACTGGTGTCGAGCGTTGCGGAGGGGGCTTGCAACTGGGAGGCGTATGGTGCAATCGACAGAAATGGCACCCCGGATGCTGCTGGTACAGGCCTGAAGCCTCTGCTGGAGCTGAAATCGAGCACGCTAGCATTCCGGCTACAGAAGTCTGCTCCCACAATGAACCCGTTTGGCAACCCGTCTACCACGCGTACCTCTACGTCTCCTACTCGCGCATCGCCGTCAAACAACACCGGCAGATGTATGGATCCTAGAATACGCATCGGAGTGGTATCATTGCCGCGAGGGTTAGCGGCTTCGAGAGCACCTGCACCTGATCGTGTGGAGAGGACATCGTTGCTAGTGCGAGACAGGCGAAGAAGGAATAGAGTGAGAGTCAATGCAAAAGGAGTAGATTAAGACAAGGTCAGCAAGCACGGGGTAAACAATAATGCGAGCATGCACAACGAGGAAATACAAGGGCACAGCAGTTGCGATGATCTCAAGGGGAAATAATTATTGAAATAATACCAAAAATTGGAAATATAGACTATACAATGGATACCACCTATGCGGCAGAAAGGGGAATGCTTGCGCACAGAAAAAGCGAGTGTCGCAAACAAACACTGAATGCAGAGAAGCGATAAAATAATCACGACACAGTAGTAGGGTGCTCCCTGCGCGCCATAGAAACGATAAAGTTCCAACAACAGCAGTAGTCTAGGTGGAATAGTGCGGTCGAATACAAGAGGTGTCTGTACTGTATATACCGAGCGAGTAGTATTTCGATGCATTTATGAATCTTACATGTTTTCTGGTCGTTCTAGGGCGTACGAGATTTTTGTATTTATTCTTGGCATTGCTTGAAGTTTATGCTTATTAATTTCGTCCTACGATCATCTTTATTTAAGTATGGAGTTTTTATTACTTATTTTCTTTTTGCGTTTTGGCTGCTTGGATAAAAAAAATCATGGAAGTGTTTTTCAGCATAAGCTGGGTTAGAACATTTTATTCTTGGTTCTGTTGCTTCTATATTTTTTTGTTTGGGTCGTCTTTAATCGATTTTTCATTAGGTACAACGAATTCAGCCTCTTTAGCTCTATTATTCGAAAATATATCTGTGAACCCTAAGCTTTTTTAGCATCTGCATTGTTATTTGAATTTGGTGCTGCTCCTTATCATATGTGGATAACAGACGTTTATGAAGGAGCACTTGAGTTAGTCTATGCTCCTTATCATGTGTGGATAACAGACGTTTATGAAGGAGCACTTGAGTTAGCCTAAAGTTGCTTTTTCCGTGGTAGTCTTACATATCGCTTTTATAAGTTTTTGGTCTCTTTTTCCAATTCTATGGGAAGATTTTTTTTTAATTTGTGGTTTATTCAATCTTTCTAGGGTGTATTTGTGGTTTGGGCGAGACTAAGATAAAAATAATTCGTGCTTGGATTGCTTTTTTATTTTATCTTGAATTTACTGCTTTACTTTTTCTTTTGGTTCATGGCGGTGCTATCGCTGCGCTGGTAGTGTTTGTATTTATGATGCTAGGTGTTAAATCCTTGGTGAGCAGAAATCCAAAATTGACTACCCGCATCAGCAAGTTGAAGCCTGACAAGAGCCGACATCACAGTACTTTAAACCCCAGAAAAACCACCAAGAATTAAATATCAGGCACCCATTTCTTTGTGGTTGGCGGCAAAAATAGCCACCAAGAACAAAAGCTAGTCTGAAAAACCGAAAAAAAAAACGAAAGGTTTTGAAGTAATATATTTGATATCTATACTGGTGGACGGGCACTATGTACACGGCCCTAGGTTTGCTCGAGGGAGTTGTACTGTCTCAGTAACCTGGTTTTGCCATCAAAGGAGGAGGGGACAGGTGGTGACGAGCTGATTGGGCTGGTTGACCCTTCGGCGCGAGAATCTTCCGACCGAGAACTCTAAGTGAGACGAGGGAGAAAGCGAGGAACCGACTGGGAAGGACAGCAACGAGAGCGTGTACGAAGCGGAGCGGGTCGAGTCTGGTCGTGCTAGGACTGGCCACAGCGGCACCGGAGCAGCGGCACCGGAGCAGCGGAACCGGAGCAGGCGGACGGCATCGAACCGCGGCGCACGGACAAACCTCTCTTGTATTGTCACTGATTTTTCCGTTTTTTTCCTGAATAAAGGTGTTGGGTGTGCGTGATGACGTCACTGTTTTTCTAGAGAGACGCGGCAGAGTTGGCGCGGATAACCCGGGTGCCTCAATGGTGTACCTGCATCGTGGAAGACCCCTTCAATGTGGAACGATTCCTAGTCAGTGTCGATGTTTACACTGCTGTGCCTAACACAGATGATCTGGATAGATTCGGGTGATTGTCAATTGCAATGATGGCTTTGGTTGGGCGTTCTTCTTCATTGTATGTCCACGGGCTCATTCTGACAGCACTTCAGACAGCAGCTCCATGCCCCGAGCTTGTGTACCATGCACCATGGTGTTATTATTGTACAGACAGCACTTCAGACAGCAGTACGCCGTAGTCGACAAACATTCATTGTGGTTGAATGCGGGACAAGGGGGCTCATGCTGCTGCGGTAGGTAGTCGATTTGTAGTGTGTGGGCGTGTAGTTCAGTTGTGAGCATGCAAACGTGCTGCAGGGATTGCA